CGAACTCAGATCCTCGAGACCGCCATCAAGGAGGCATGGTCAGAGGAGAGAGCTAAGGCCGTTGAAAGCTTCAAGGAGTCCTCGAAATTCCACGCTCTTCAGGTTGAGTACGGTTCGAGCTCCTACCGCTCTGGGTTCAAACTTTGCAGATATTTGGTCCGACAGAAGTTCCCTGATCTCGACCTCGGTGCCATCACAATGGCAAGCTTGACTCCATAGGTGGCAAATGTGACGAACGAGGATCCTGACTCGTCAGAGGAGGATAGTGATGACGAGGTCGAAGTACTGGACCCCTCAGACGTGGATGGCAGTCCTCCTGCTTAAGAATCTTCTCTTCTTTTTTGTGTTTTTTTTTGAATCATGAATGTACACCCCGAAGCTATTGAGCTTGGGTCACAAATGAAGTCTTATGTACTTACAATCACTTTGTCAATGAAATATATCTTTTTGTCTAATCTCTGTGTAAAAATATTCTAAGTGTGAGTAACTTCCGATCCGGGCGGCAAATGTATAGGTTACCTGAATTGCCGAGCTATCGAGCTGGACAATAAGTAAGGATAACCAACCATAAAAATTTTCTAAGGGTAGATTACCCCGAACTGTCTTCCTAGGCTACTAGTAGGAGTAACTCGCGCGCGTGCTACTCATTTGAATGTCGGTTATCTATAACGGGTCCAACCTGTTGTTATATGCTGAAGTGGGCTAGACATCATAGGGCTTACACCCGAGTTGTCTATGCCTTAGGAATTTAGAGGTATTTTGCCTATGCCAAAGAAGCGACTAGGACTTATATGCCCATGCCGAAGAGGCGATTGGGTTTTGGGCGCCCATGCTGAGGAGGTGACTTGGACTTATATAATGACGAGTTCGTCTATTGGGTACCTTAGCTCTTAGGCCTTGGGGGCGACTTGTTGTCCACCCTTCTTGATTCTGTTCATGCCGAAGAGGCGACTGGGGCTTATACAATGCCAAGGTCTTTTAGCAGCTCGACACTTTTAGTCCTTAGACTTCTGGGAGTGACTTATGGTCCGCTCTGTAGTTAGGCGATTACAGATAGTATCGCCTCAGGTTGTTGATGTTCCGCGCCCAGGGCACCTGTTTTCCTTCTAGGGTTTCGGGCTCGTACATCCCTTCCCGAGCACCCACTTTACTCGGTAGGGGCCTTCCCAATTTGGTTCGAGCTTACCAACACCGAGCTCAGGCACCATGACTTTATGAAGTACTAGGTCTCCAACACCGAAGTTCCGCTTCTTGACTCTGGCATTATAGTACTGAGCCACTCTCTGTTGGTAGGCTGCAGTCCGGATGTATGCGAGATCCCGTACCTCTTCAACTAGGTCGAGGTTGGTGTGTAGCTCGTCATCATTTGCCTCTTCGACGTATGCTTCCAGGCGTAACGTAGGCACCTCGATCTCAGCTGGGATCATTGCCTCTGTGCCGTAAGTGAGGTTGAAGGGTGTTTCTCCCGTGGCGGTCTTCACAGTGGTTCGATAAGCCCACAGTACGCTGGGCAGCTCGTCTACCCATAGACCTTTAGCTCGGGCTAGGCATGCTTTCAGGCCACGGAGGATGGCCCTGTTCGTGACTTCAGCTTGACCATTTGCTTGGGGGTGTGCCACCGAGGTGAAATTCTGATGTATCCCCATCTGACTGCACCAATTTTGAAACTTAATATCTTCAAATTGTTTGTCGTTGTCGGAGATAAGTACTCGGGGGAGTCTGAAGCGACACACTATGCTTCTTCAGAAGAAGTTTTGGATGCTTCGTGTTGTGATCATTGCAAGAGGTTCGGCCTCCACCCACTTTGTGAAGTAGTCTACTGCTACCACTAAGAATCTCCTCTGTCCTATCGCTGGCGGGAATGGTCCAAGGATATTGATTCCCCACTACGCGAAGGGCCATGGGCTAGTGAGATACTTTAGGTCAGCAGCAGGTTGGTGGTGGACATTGACATACCTTTGACACTTGTCACATCTTTTAACGAGCTCGATCGCATCCGCCTTCATCGTTGGCCAGTAGTAACCTTGTCGTAGCGCTTTCTTGGCGAGAGCCCTGGCCCCCAAGTGTCCACCACATAGACCTTCAAGAGTGTCACGGAGAACAAGCTCGGCTTCTGAGGGTCGTAGGTAGAGCAGATAGGGAGCATGTAGGATCTTCGGTACAGCTGTTTGTCTAGTATGACGTATTTGGCCGCCTGTCGCTCTACTCTTCTAGCTGCATTACGATCTGCAGGGAGGGTCCCGTGAAGCAGGTAGCTCGCAAGCTGATCGATCCAGCTCGGCTCTGCTTGTGTAACAGGAGCAACCTCTTCTGCCCCCCGAGAATGCTAGGCCGAGGCAAATTCTCTATGTACACTGTCCTCATGGTGTTGTCGCTTGTGCTGGCTAACCGGGACAAGGCATCGGCCTCAGCGTTCTCGGATCTCAGGATCTGTCTGATGAAGTACGACTAGAAATCACACAGAGCCTCTCTGACTTTGGCTAGATAGGCGACCATGGTTGGCTCGCGAACTTCGTACTCGCCGGTGACCTGGTTGACCACGAGCTGGGAGTCACTGCAGATGTCGATATGCCTGGCTCTTACTTCATTTTCTAGGGCAAGACTGGCTATCACTGCCTCGTACTCCACCTCATTGTTGGACACGACGAACTCGAAGCGATGCACATACTCTAGCTTCACCCGCTTGGCCCGTATAAAATGATACCAACTCCGCTACCTTGCTGATTTGACAAGCCGTCCACATGGAGGATCTAGGGCTCCTCCTCCCAGGTTGGCGTTGCTCTGACCGGGGGAGGTGCCGCACTGGTGGAAGCTTCTCCTCTGTGCTCGGGCTTAATCGGTTCAGGAACCACAGTGCTGAAGGTACATTCCGCGATGAAGTCAACTAAGGCTTTGGGCCTTGATTGCTATCCGGGGCTCGTACTGGATGTCGTACTTGCTGAGTTCAATGGCCCACTTCGTCAACTGGAGGAGCTCGGAAAGGCTGATCCGGTTTTCCTCCTCCTCGAGCTGGCTCACCCTTCTTCCTCTTTTTTGTCCCCGTTAGTTGAGGTCTCACCTTCTCTTTTCCTCTTCTCTGGTAGATTCTCGCTCTTCTGGTTCATCTCTTCCTCTGTTTCGATGAATTGGTCGAGCTTGAGGAACTTAGTAACATCGGATAGATTCTCCCTCCCTCTGGACTATGCCGAGCAGGCTTTCTTGGGACCTTGGGCACCTCTTGCTTGTGATGAAGTGCGAGGTAAAAATCTGCACGAACTGCACCCAACTCTTAATTGTCCCGGGTGCAAGGTTTCTATACCATGTGCGAGCTACTCCTTTAAAGGTGGTGGAGAAAGCCACACACACGTAGGGTTCATCTGCCCCGGCTAGGTGCATCTGCGAATGAAATGAATCTACGTGGTCATTTGGATCAAATGACCTGTCATACTTGTCTAGGGGAGGTACTTTGAAGTCCTTGGGCATTGGAACTGCTAGGAGCTCAAGAGATAGGGGAGATGGAACAGAGAGGAGTGGGAGGGCCAAGGTTAGTGCTATTGGCTTTGGGCTGGTCGGGCTGGCTTTGGGCTGCAGCTCGGCGAGCCTTGTGACGCCGCTTCTGTTGCTTCTTCACTGGCTCCGCGTTAGTGCTATTGGCTTCAGTGTTATCAAGCACTGTTCTTGCAGGGAGCTACTCAGACTGCTGGCGGCGGCTATTGTGAACTAAGGGGCCTAGTCTAGAATCCGCAGCCAGAACTCCGAATCGGTTTTCTGCCAAAGGAACTTCGAACTGGGAGGGCCAAGGTTATACGGCCTTGGCAGGCTAGGTATCTCCCGACCTATTCACCTGTTGGGAGGCAGGAGGAGTAACCTGTCTCTCCCTCCTGCCACGGGACGAAACCTGGCTCCCGTGAGGGTTCTAGACTTGGGAGGTCTCTCCCCGGCGAGGAGGGCACTTTCTCTGGCAGCGATGCTTGACTTGTTGTGTGGCCGAATGCCAAGGTGGAACCGGCTGCTGAGTTTGCTGATTCTGCGGCAATGGGGGAAACTGCTGGTGGTACTGCTACTGATAGACGTGGTGCAGGACTTGTTGCTAATACAGTTGAAACTGCTGGACCTATTGCATTTGAGCTTGCATGGCCCGAATGCAGTGCACCAGGTCGTCCAATTGATTCTGTCCAACCGCCGGGGGGATGACATAAGGTTCGGCGAACGTTGCTCCCACCGTTAGAGGAAGTGGGGCATTCACCGGTGCAAGAACTTGAAATACATTGAGAGTGGGGATCCCGTCCACAGAGAGAGGTATGGTGAAATGTCTGAGGTGGGCTTGTCCCAAGGTGGTTCAGTTATCCGAGCTGGATCTGTCTCAGACTTGGGTATGTCGGGATGAGCTGTCGTTCTGTCAGTTAGGTCGTGTCCACGTGTCCCTCTATTATTAGATCGGGCCAAATCACCGTATATCAACATCCATTCCACATGCTGGCTTCATCATGCCCGTGTGATTTCATAGGATCAGATCCATGTGGATACCAATCTGATGAACTTTACTTTATTCGGAGACTCTTTCCATCAGGTGATTCCAATATGATCAGACGGTTGATCTCATCAAATCAGATTGAGATGTAATATCGGAGACAACTGAACGGTCAATACGCTCCCGACAGAAAGTCAAAGCCAATACACCGTAAACTTGCCTGAATTTCGGTACAAATTTGAAAAACCTAGAAATTCGGAGAGAGAGGGGAATTTCGACTTTCGAGGGTCGTCCCTCGTCCGACGTCCAATTCCATGCACGCAAAATGGAAAGTCTAATTATCGTTACATCTGAAATTTCTCCCTTCGCCTTCTTTAGCTTCCGATGTATCCTCTTCAAATCAAACCCCCCAACCCCAAAACAATATCAGATCGCAGTACTATTGTACTAGTCTCCCTCCTCCCCTTCGTAATAATAAAAACCCTAGTCTTTTAACCTGAAACTTGGCCGACTTCTCTTCGTCATTACATTCTTCCGTTCGCCGGTGGGGATGGAAGGCTTCCGGTCGACTTACCGGCCACACGGGAGCGACCGGAAGATCGAGATCGTGAAGGGCAATGTCTACAGTCAGAACCAGGTATACGTGTCTCAGCCTCAGTCGTCCGATCCATCACCACCCCCACCACCACCATCCGCCACCACCACTAATGTTAATAATAATAATAATGTGAATAGAAGCACACCTGCAACGAAATCGTTGAGCTTTTATGATGCTGAGCTGAAGAGACGAAAGCGGGTCGCCAAGTACAAGGGCTACGCTGTCGAAGGGAAGGTTAAGGAGTCTTTGAGGAGGGGGCTTCGTTGGATCAAGAACATGTGCTCTGATATCGTCCATGGCTAGATAGATACAGGAAAAGTGGCAGAAGACGAGAGAAATAACCAAAAACGAAAAAGGTAGAACCGTAGAAGGCTTTCTTTTGCGTGACGGGACACGCTTTGGTGTTCCTTTTTTTTCGTTTTCTTGTCAATTGAAAACCCTTTTTTTCCTTGACCTTTTGTATTTATTTTTTTGTTTTCTTCTTTTTGTTTCTAAAATTCTTCGTCTGAGAATGTGTCGTTCGTTCTGGGTTGAGTCTTGAGAATGCGTTCGTCATTATTTATTTGTTAACAGGAGAACATCTGTTAGTAAATTGAAATTTTTTGGACTCAGATTAGTCCATGTATGAACAATGCTAGGAAGGAGGCGATTACCTTTGAGAAATTTGCGTGTGGCTCTTCTTTAATTAATATCCATAAACAGTTTTTTTCCCACAATTTTATCTCCTCTGTTGTTCTTTTGTAAACCATTTTCGAGATTAATCTACACAGTCGTAATTATCTTCTGTTTATTTTCTTTCCTTGTCTGTTTAATCACCACGAATTATACAAGGCAAATGCGGAATTCCGCATTTCAGGTTCGCTCAGTTTAGAAATACGTGCAAGGTTTTGCTTTGTGCTTTTCCCAACTGAGCCTTAACCGTAAAGACAGGGACTAGGGAAGTCTGGGAAATCTTGCCACCTGGCAAAATTCGTATCTAGATGTGCAACTTGGGCAGCTAAATCTGGAGTTCACACATACGCCCCACTACCACTAGTAATTGTGATCTGCTCCTCACACAGGGCGCTACGCACCTACCTCACAGGCACATGTCACCCTGCATTGAGAATATCTCCATGAATAATAATGTATAAGTACAGGAGATGTTCCCAATGCATGGTGAGATGTGCCTGCAAAGAGCAGATCTCGTCTCCCCCACTAGTGCCCTATAGTATATCCCAATTCCCAACGTGTATACATCTACCGTAGTACCGTACTTGCGATTAGGAGATACTCTCAAGTCTCAATACAGGGATGGGATGTGCTGTGGGGCACTTGTGGGGCGCCATATGTAGGACGCAGATGTGTATTCATCAATTCACAATTTTACACAGTCTGTGCTTGGACTTTTGGTCCTCAAGTCTTTTAGTTGAAGGGATGTGCTGTGGGGCACTTGTGGGGCGCCATATGTAGGACGCAGATGTGTATTCATCAATTCACAATTTTACACAGTCTGTGCTTGGACTTTTGGTCCTCAAGCCTTTTAGTTGAAGGCTTGGCTCCATTTAGGAAGTGTGCAAATGTAAATATGTACCTAAGCCCAGTTTGGAAGGAGTACAAATGCAAATGTGTAGAGTGCAATACCTTAATACAAATGCAAATGCAAATTTTGTATGTACCTAAGCCCAATCCAAGCCTGACCCTCTTATACGCATTCATATAAGCATACATATAAAGATACATATGTGCCTATGTATATACAAATTTGCATATATGTATACGCACATATATGTCAAATTTCAAAGTGAGCTGATTGACCAACCTAAACCCAATATAAACTTGAGCCCAATTCAAATGAACCAAATTTCAGTGCAGGCTAGACCCAAGTTGGACAGTTCAGGTTTAACTTTGGGATGGGTATAGGGATGGGCATTATGTTGAATCTTAATCTCGTTATAGATTAAATCTAATGGGGTTTGATTGATCAATTACATGAAAAGCATATCTGTACACATATTTTAGAAAATAGTTTTTTCTTTGAGTTCACATCTCCGCCTCACAACGTCCCTCCCCAAAACGCCCCACAGCACATCCCCGCCATGTATTGAGAGCATCTCCCAATGATGACATCATCGGCTCTGGTACATCATTGGGAGATGTTCCCAATACACGGCGGGGATGTGTTACGGGGTGGAGATGCTGTCTCTTTTTCTCTTATAAAAAGCAGTTTTTAACTTATCACAAATAAGAAAATTACTGAACTTGTTTTGAGTTTTTAAATATGAGTTTATTTACACTCCCTAGAAATATAAGAGGAGAGTATGGAGACTTGCTACTGCACAACACACATGCACAATTCGATTTGCTACTGTCTCATGAGAGGTTTCTTCAACAATTATTCGTCTCTCTCAATTTTGCTACTGTCTCACAACTCAAATTTGCTACTGTCTCATAGAACAATTTTCAACACATTATGCCCAATTCTTAGGGTTGGGCTTGGGTTGATTACAGACCTAGCTTAGCTCACCCGACTTACACCATGATTTGTACCTGATAAATCAGCACCCAACCCATCCCAAGCACAAGCCCAATTGAATTGCATTAAATTTCGTTGTGGGCTAGACCCTGGTTGGACATATTGGGTTTAACCTCAAGTTTGGTCTGGGCTTGGGCCTTAGGTCTAATTCCTAGATTTGGGCATGGGTAGACGATAAACTAGGCCTAGCCTACCCAACTCGCTTCCCTATTCGTACGTGATAAATCAGCGCCCATTTTTAGTCAAAATGTAGCATATAGCATTATTAACTAATACCAGAATTCAGGTCCAAAACAAACTGCTTGTACAGGTCCTTGCATATCCTCCTTCCCCCCACCGCCCCCCCAAATTATTAGGTAAAAGTACGGAATTCACGGTCAGGATACATTCCCCTATACTTTGGGCCTAGTAAATTCTGATCTGGGCTGATTGGTACTTCTCCCAAAAAAAAAACTATTTCTATTTATTGGATAGCCCCACTTAACATCCTTTATTCAGGTGTTTTATGATGTTTAATATTTTATAAAAAATGAAAGAGGAGGATGTTGACCATATATTTAAAAATTATGGTGAAACAAAACAGATTTGATCATTATTAAATCAGAATTTTTTTCAGTCCAAATGATTTGACCCCTCCTTTGATTAGTGGGCAAAGCTCATGAAGAAAGATGATCTTGAGAAAAGCATGGTTATGGAACTATGACACATCTGGAAGAACAGAAATCAAAAAACTTTCACAAATAGTTCGTTCCCTCCCTAAATAAATAATTTTGGATAGAGCTGTAAAAGAGTTCTTTTCTCTAAATGAGAATTCAGATAAAAGTTGGAAGTTTATTACGTGAACCATGAAAATAAACTTTGATGCTTCTTGTTTGAGTGACGGGATGTGCTCGATGGCCGCCATTGCAAGAAACCACTTTCGGAAAATTGTGGACTATAAAGGATACTCTCTTGGATTCACTACAAAAAATGCTGCTGAAGCATGAGCAACGTGGGAGGTTCATAATTTGGCTTTAAATTTCAGGGATCTTCCGAACATAATAGGGGACTCAAAGCTTGTCATCTCCTGTCTCAATGGCCAGGTCACCCCTCAATGTATCTTTAGGAACGTAGTTCGTGACTGCTTGTGGATGAAGGATCAGTTTGAGTTTGAGCATGGAGTTTGGTACAGACATGTTTTTAGTGAAGCAAACCAAGTGGCTAACCAGCTCGCAAGTGAAGCTATGTCTTTTCCTTCAATTGCTACATCCCTAAACCTTTGTAATCTCCCATGGGCTTTAGATTTTATTTGTTTGAATGATTTGTGGGTCGTGCTACCCCCATCTTGTGGAGCACCTCCTGGCTTCTATCAAAAAATGTTCTAATTTTGTCCCTATTTTTATTGAGCTCTAGCTTGAACATTAACAGATTTTCTTCTCTGTATCACTACAACCAATTGGTTAGCTAATTGTATAAGGACCCACAACAATATTAATAGTCACAACTTGATGTGGGTTGAGCCACTTCAATTTGGTGGTTGTTGGATGCAAGGTTCAAAGTTTTGGAAACACCAAGTGTATTGGAAAGGCAATTTTAAGAGACGTCGGGATATGCCTTGGATACGCATGTGTATCGGAGAAAAACTAAGATATACATAGATATGCTTGGAAACAATATAAATACTTTAATAAATCATAAACATATATCAATATGCTTAACTATAAATTAATATATTTTAATGGTTTTATGAAGAACTATATTGTAGTTAATTATAATTTCATTAAAAATCCTATGCTTAACTATAATTTATAAATTATAATTCTAAAGTTTTAATATTTTACGGGATGGGAAAAACCCAACTCTCCTATCAAACCATAAAACATGCATTGGCACAACTTCTAAGTGAAAATATAATTAATAATTATTTATTTCCAAAAATTATAAAAAATAAATAAATATTATATAATATATTCAAAAAATAGTTATGAAAGAAGAAATTTCAATTGCTTTGTGGATATGATAGATCATCCATAGAATTATAATATATTCAATCATTGTGATCAAATAATAAAATATAATTAATTAATTATTTTTTAATTCTAAAAATATAAAAAAATTATTAAAGAAGAAATTTCAATTGCTCTATGGATATGATAGATAAATCCATAGATCAAAAACATATTTAGTATTTATAGGCAGAGAAAAAATACATTTTCAAATTTTTTGTTAATTTATATTTTCCCCAATTATCTTCATGAAATTTTCATAAATCTACTGATAACAAATAAAAATTGTGATTTTGAAAGTAAGAAATGTAGATCAACATAAATTTAAACATTTAAGAAAAAAAAAAGAAATCACAAGGTATTATAGAAAATTGAAAAAAAAACTATTTTTCCATATTTTTCAAAGTTAAAAAACTCTTCAAAAAAAATTAATGAATCACACTTGTTTCTTACAATTTTTTGCAAATCTAGTACTCTAGGAATGAGTTTTGGAGTTTTAGAGTCATTTGGGGGTGAAAGAAGGCTTATTTTCGGGAAAAAAATTTTGCTTTCCCCCTTTATTTATTTATTTTTTGTTTGGTCGTATCTTTTTTGTTGATACGCTACCGATATGCCCGATACTGATACGCTACCGATATGCCCGATACGGGTCTCATACACTTAAAAAAAGACAAAACACTCGATTTCCATGCATTTCCTGTATCTATTTTTTAAATATACAATACGATACACCCCATATCGTATCGAAATTTTAAACCTTAGTTGGATGGAACCCTGATCTGTGAAGTTTTATGTTTCCATTC